TTCTCTAGATCAAACAGACTATTTTTTGCATCTAAGCATTATTGATTAATAAATAGCAGTCCTGTCTCACCAATAAATCTACATAAATTTATGAAAGCTCCATTGTATTTATAATAAAACAAAGATACTATATTGTAATCTAGGAATTTTAATTCTCGGTAATGCCTATAGCAAAGCTATAGCGTCGCGTCCTAGTCGTGTCTTTTACGTTTAAGATAGAACGACGATTTTAACTCCATTTAAAAATAAGCATAGGCGATATTCCCGAATTTTGGTTTCACTGCGGTTTGTGTGGGTATCTATATTGGTGTTCGGTGATTTTTTCTTCAGTTCGTCATTCTGACTTGTGCGGATTCATTTTGTATGTGTTTACTGTTGAGAGCGTAAGAGATAGCCATTAAGCCATAAACCTTGTCCTTGGGCGTATAATCAATAACGGACTATGAGTTTCCCGAAGAAGTGTTGCATAATTGGTTTAGATGGTCGGGTGATAAAAGATTTACATGATTTGATGGATACTTCGGCAGCTTCGGCTTCCGAGTTACAAACGACGGCGGCGGCCATGACGTTGACAAGGATCGAGATATTTTTAAAAAGTAATGGTATCTATGATGAGATTAATCCTATTTTGGAAGTTAACTATATAGGGCAATACAGGTTTAATTTAAGTATTTTTAGTTTTTTATATTTTTTAAATGTTATATATATCATTTGTTTTGTATTTATTACCTTATAGGATAATTTAGGTAAAAGTTACTGTTCTTTGTGTTTTTTATACATTCTATTTTAATAAATATTTTGTTAAATAAATTTTACACATTGTTTTAATTAAAATTAACTTAGAAAAACCTATAATATAGGCTTATAAGATATAATTATTTTAAACAAAGAGTATTTTGTTGAAAATATAGATGTATTTAATATTAATACAAAGTTTGTTTCTAAGGAACTCGAGTTAGCTATTAATGAATCAAGTACTCGTTTTATAATTAAACAATTCCGTTTTGATCCATGGTATATTAAATATAAATACACGTTGATTATGCCATATTTCAATCAGCCATGGCTTAACAATTAAGCACGTTCATTAATAATAAATAAACCTTTCTATCAGTGTAACATAATATCTTTCTAGATTTACTACCTTTAAATATACATACATACATACATGTAGCTTTGCTTTTTACAGTGTGGATGTTTGGGTTTTAACTGAAAATTTTTAAGATTAAAAGTCGGTGGTCAGTGCCACATTCGGCATCTACTCTGGCTTTTGTGAGACTGACATCTTTTAGGTGCGTCCTTCGAACGATTACGTGGTCCAATTGGTGCCAATGGCCTGATCTGGGATGTTTCCAGGTACCTTTAAACTTGTCCTTCAGCATGAACCACGTATTGGTGATGCAAAGATTATACTCTGTGCATGTTGATAATAAGCGTTCACCATTGCTATTTACGTTTCCTATTCCATGTTTTCCCAATACGTCAGGCCATATTTCCTGTTGTTTGCCGACACGGGCATTAAAGTCACCTAGCAAAATGATTCGTTCGTGCTTTGGAATTTGTTGGAGTGTATTTTGCAGAGCTTGGTAAAATTTATCCTTATCCTCAATTTTAGCGTCTACGGTAGGAGCGTAAGCACTTATGATGTTGACGTAAGTTTTGTCTGATATGGGGTACCTTAAGGGTCATAAGACGTTCGGAGACATCAATAGGTACTTCTGTTAATTTGATGGCGATTTCGTTTTTGATTGCAATGCCTACGCCATGAATTCTCCTGTGTGTTGCGGGGTGACCCTTCCAAAAGAAGGTATAATGCTTCTCAGTGAGACTACCTTCATCCGCAAAGCGGGTTTCGCTAAGAGCGGCAACATCTATATTTAGTCGGTGGAGTTCCTGTGAGACCAGTGCTGTTCTTCTCTCTAGTCGATTGGAGTTTGTCCTGTCCAGTAGAGTACGGACGTTCCACGCTGCAAACGTCAAACATTGACGTTGTTTAGTTCTCCGATGATACGCTCGAGTAGGCACCCCCTCCCGGAGATCCGATCGAGGGGGTATTTTACCTCCGGACCATGATTTTGTCCTACTCGAATGTTCCATCTTTGATGACTGTTAGGTGCGTAAAAAGGTTAAACTGTGACGGTTACGCTGCCGCACAGTTTGGCTGCAACTGTAGCACGGGATGGCTTTGGCACAGTGAGGACTGCGACGATAGCTCCCTTGTGCTACGTTCTCGGCCGGCTAGGAGTAGTTTACTACTCCTCTTCCCCAGAAAGGTGGTAGGTCTGAGGGTTGTATAAGGATATACCGCCTATACTCTACTTTACTACCTCTAAACAAAACTAATTGTACAATAAATTATAAATAAATATAAAATAGAAGGGCACAAGAAATCAGCAAAATTACAAATCGAATTCCAATGTGGCCCATTGAAACGTCAAACAGAACTGTGTTAAAAATGGTAGTTTATGATATCGAATTCAGCTCAAATGCGTGAATACATAGATAGCATTATACTCCTTCCTTTATCTTCTTAGTCAAAGGGTTCGTCTTATTAATTACAGTAATTAAACCAGTCGCGGCGGTATAATTACATAAATCTTTTAATAATCGACAGTTAAATCACTGAACAGAAGTAGAGACAAAATAGTTCAAGGCAAATACAAATGCGAGGTATATTTTAAACCGCTTACTTAAAAAAAACTAAACCGAACCATACATCACCGATATACAATAGAAATGTGAGGGAAGCGATATCGGAAATATCAAAACATCATCCTTTTGAATAAAGGCAAAACGGAATAAACCTGTATAATTTAGAGATAGATTTTTCATTCATTCCGCTGAACTCTTCCGAGAGACGTAGAGCGTTAGAAGAGCGGCGAAACCCTTTCAGGAAGATTTATAACTTTATTTAAGACCCGCGGAGAACATTAGCGAGCTATTTATTAATGGTAGACTATAATGATGTCTGAGAAGCCGACTGGCTCTATACAGAAGGTAGCAACCGCCGCCGCCGCGCCGTTCCCATATCAATTTGTCGATTTAAAAATATCAGATATTTATTCATTAAGGTTTATCGAATATTATGTATATTGCGGTTGGCGTTGTGGTAATTTTCCCAATAGTTTTCGCATTATATCGATTTCGAATAGCTATAAAGGCGGAATTTCATGCGTCTGATATTCGACTATACCGAGTGTTTCTCAAAAGTGGCTCACCCCTATAATTTTTTTTATTTTTTCAGATAAAAAAACGAGATTTGGTTCGTTAGTGTATGACATAAATCAGGATTTATTGACGTATTCAATTGTTTTCTTTTACTTCCTGTTTCACCGGGAATTACTTCAACTTTTGACTTTTACATGGCATCCTCGGTATTTTTTACTTTATTCGATAGAAAATGACCCTCTGAATAGAATGACATATCATATTATGTCAACTTTTGATATTCTCGCTTAAGAACCGTATTTTAAATTTTAATCTCGAGTACCATGGCTGTGTTAAAAACACTAATTTTTATAGAAAGAGCCTTGGAAAAATAGACTTGATCGTCTAATGTTTTTCGTGTCTTGTCCTGGCCGATTAAAAGTTGCCCAAGTCGTATTTTTAATCATATCTCAATTTTTATAAATGGAACAAGGGTGGCTCATTAGCATATTTAGAAAAAAACTATTTTTTTACGAATAATTTGGTACCAACCACATACTTGGTGTTTCGAGTCAAATTTTCGTTATGAACCGCATGTTACAATTTCAGATTAACAATATGCGTAAATGTCAGAAGTTGACATATGATATGTCATTTTATTCTATTCAGAGTGCCATTTTCTATCGAATAAAGTAGGAACGAAATATACCGGGGGTGCCATTTAAAAATAAAAAGTTGTAGTCATTTTCAATTTCTATTGAAAGTTGAATACGTTAATCAATCCTAACTTATGTCATATACTCAGATACCAAATCTGTTTTTTTTATCTGAAAGAATTAAAAGTTAGACGCACCCGGTATTCGATACTATATTTACTACAGGTTGGTTAAAGTCAGTAAGGGTTGTTCTTTGAATAAAAAGATTAATTAAGGAGCATATCAAAAAACTTAGGTGAAGTGCAATGGGGACCTAAAATGGCCAACTTAAATTCCGGTTTATCAGTGCCGTTATAATTTTATTCAAAACTTGAAAAAAATAATTTTGTCAGTAAATGTTAGTAGTTATTCAAATTGTTATAAAAATATATATTTCCAATAAAATGGATAAGTTATAATAATTATTTAATAACATAAATATCAGATACGCTACTGAAGCACGTTAGTCAAATTGACGTATTTAAATTATTTTTGATAAGTATTAAAGCTAAAATGCTAGAAAAAATATAATTAGTTAATTTGAAGTGAATTTTATAAATGATCGGTTTACTACACGTAACACATGTATATTATACAGTCACTTAGTGAAAAGTTATTCAATTGTTTCGCCCGATTGTGATCGAGATCTACTACACAACCAACTATTTTACAGTCTTTTTTTTAAGTAAAGACAAACAAATCAATACAATTTGAGATCAAATTCAAATTCAATCATTTCAATTGAAACGTCAAAAAGAACTGTCAAGGATGGGAACCGATGATGTCGTACCCTCCAACATGCATGAATACATGGATAGTATTATACTCCGTTCTTAATATTTTTATTCAAACGTGTTGGTTCCTTAAAATATACGTAAAATACTTAACAGTTCTCCCAGTCTCTGTATTTTTTAACGAAAATTAATCTATTCTATGCAAATAAAGTATTTAGTATAAAATGAAATTATAACAGATTTTATACTCTTCAGAATTATCCCACCCACTGAGCCAGTTTTGAAAGGAATTTATATGAAAACATAATTTATTTATAATATGTCTATTAAAAATGTGCAATGATTTGTTAACGTTTAAAGCAGTGTATTTAAGGAAAAATAACGTTTGACAGTATACGATTATTAATATTATTATTATTTTCAGGGATAATGTAGAGTTGAAAAGACCGGCTCAGAAGAGACCAATCAAATCGCTGAGTTTGACCACGTCAGAGTTTTCCAGCGGTTTGGAGCCATCGAAAAAGAAAAGGAAAAAGAACAAAGATTTTTCCGATCGGTAATATGTTATGTATATACTTTAAAATATGTATTAAACATTGTTACATCAATATATTTTAATATATTTTATTACGGTAGTTTTACTTTTAGTCTAGATATTTTTTCTTTCTTTAATTACTTATTGCAACGGATATTAACTGCACTGTTTTCCAAGCTCGGTCTACTACCGTTCTCGTCGAAAATTAGTCGATGCATCCCGTCAATAAAAATTCGACAAATTTGTAAGTGGCCAATGCAATGGGTGGGCGGAGAGTATTTTGCGGTGACATACTCGGTCAAGTTCACGTGGACTCTTTGCATCGTGTATATAAGTAGCGATCTACAAATATATTGCTATTTATTTAAATATGTTTTGTAGTAAATTGATCATACTCTAATATGTGTCTGCATTCTTCAAATTCCTTTCGTAGACATAGATCCAGTAGATAGTACATTACATATTTGGTTATTTATGTTTCTTTATCTTGGTAATCTCCAATTTGTCAGTTAACATTGTTTTTGTTCACAATTGAAGAGTGGAAATACCAAAGGGGAAAATGGCGGGTTCTCATTAGTCGATTTTATTGATCAATATCATTGAATCTATGTCATTGAAATAAAACAGATTAATGTGAACATGTTTTCGCATTTCTAGAAAACTGGAAGACATTTTTACTTTTGGTGGACCAATCGTATTGATTCAATGAAATTGAATAGTGCTTGCCCGTGAGAACAAGCTGGAACAAGCGTTCAGTCTCGGTCTGTTGAAATAAGTAAATCAAAATGTCGTTTAAATGGAGGGATTTCCATGTTGCAAAATTTCTGGAGTTATATCAGGCAGAGGAATGTTTATGGAACTTCAAATGTGAAAATAGGTCTGTCAACAAAATTTAGTTTTCTACTGCAAATTATAAATTTGTGCATATTGAAAGACCGTACAAAGTTTGAAAACAAATACTCATATACTTTTCGAGTTATTCGTAATTCAATTTGAATCCTTTCGTCGAGGCGGGAAAACGCTGCCAGGAGAGCTACCGTGGTGTGACGTCACATGCTTGCTAATCGCGCGTAGCGCTTTACCAGAGACATAACAGACGGATCTGTTTTACGCTTAGTCATAAACGACCCTTCAATTATTATTAGTCGATGGAAAGTCCTTATTGTAAAATTATACAGCCTCTGTTCAGACACGTTTGTATTTTACGCAAACAAAGGATCTACTAGGTATAGTTTTAACACTTAATCACACTTTTTAATTCAATTCAGTTCCAAGATGTCGCTTTTTACTCTACTTTTCAACACGCACTTTACTTTTTACCCCTCTAAGTAAATAAATGCCTTTATTGTCAAAAAATTTTTCAATTTGTAGACAAAGGTAAACTAACAAACAAAGTAAAAAAACAAGGTACACAAACAAATAAACAAAAGATAAGATTGAGAGATAAGTTCCAAAGAGTTCAGAGTCGGCAATTTTTATATAAAATTTTACTTTTAAAACTAATTGTTTAAGTTTTCCTTATATATTCAAATCTTTCCATTCAATTTCGAATGTCTTTTTACAATGTACAGTTTATCATCGACTGCTTGGAAACTGAAATTCAAAAACCTAGAGCTTCTCTTCAATAGGCGCTGACTTGGTCCGAGTATAAAAAGTGTAACACTATAAAGTATTTGATATCATGTACCCCCCTCCTGATGGTTTCATAAACTTTATATCTTGTGAGTATGGAGGACGCGCAAGCGATGTTGCAATTTTTGAAGATTGTGGATATTTAAAAGTTCTTCCAGAAAATTGCGTTATTATGGCAGACCGAGGTTTTAAACAAATTGAAACATACCTAAAGATGTACATTAATCAGACCTCCAAGTGTTGTAAGTAATGTAAAAATGACCAAGGATGACATTCTGTTTACAAAACGAATTGCAAGTGTGCGAATACATATTGAACGTATAATAAATCGCTTGCGACATTTTAAAATGTTAGGACCCCACTCTACTATTTCTTCAGCAATGGTTCAAAAACTAGATAACATAGTATTTTCTGTGCCATAATAAACTTACAAAAACCCATTATAATAAAATAGTACATTAAGATTATACTATGTGTGTTTCTAAATAAAAAAATGGTTTCCTAAACGATATTTTTATTAAGATCTTAAATGTTTATTCAGTAAAAACTGCATACAGTAATTTAAAAATGTTGGTTTTCCAAAAGTGTATGGCAGAGTCAATAAGACCTTTTGTAAAATCCTCATCATATTTAACGTTGATAACAGTAATTTCCTTGCCTTTGTAGTTTCAAAATTGGGGTGTGCTACGCTAAATATTCCTTTTTGAACACCTCTTGCTAACATTGGCAGATTTATTTGTGCTAAGTATTTTTTCGCTATTTCGTTATTGTTATTAACATATTGTAAAAAGGCTTTAACACCACTGGATTCAACTTGGTTATAATCAGTATTCAATTATGTGAATCTCCTTTCTGGAAACCCTCCTCCATATTTAGCAACAAATACAACTTCTTTTATGGTATTCAACAACAAAAATAATAATGTAACTGCTGTAAATGTCGACTGTACTTCAATACCTTGTATTGAAGTACATTGAGTGTCACAGTCAAACTGAATCACGGTCTTGCCGTCGCAAGTGGAGCAGCGTGCGGCAGGCATGTGACGTCAGGCCAATGAGAGCGCGTTTATTTAATTTGAACGGAGCGCATAACTTCAAGAGTCTCTCTTGTCAAAGGAGTTTATTTTTTTTGAAAAAAAATTTATTTAATTGGTATTATAATACTAAAAGATTAATTTTTTACCGCTTTTAGTGCAATTTTTTTTTAGTGAACAGACTTATTATAAAAATATAACGCTACGGGAAAAAAGTTATGAAAATATTCGTGTTGAAATGGACATAGAATCTTTAACTTTAACCGATGTTAAAAACAAAATTAAAAGTATCCGAACTACGTATAAAGTGGAACTTAACAAAATCCTTAAAGCGTTTGCAAGTGGCACCGGAGTAGAGGATTTGTATAAACCAAAACTATTTTGGTTTGGCCAAGCCGATCAATTTTTAAGAGGAGTTTCTCTTCCAAAAGAAGTCAATCAAACTTGGTAAGTGAATTTGTTTTTTTAATTATTCAAATTTATTTTTGTAATTCGGAATACCTACTGCTGGACATTTGCTTCGGGACAAGAAATTTTTGTTCTAATTTTGAACGTAAATATTTTGAAAAGTAAAGGAGCTAGAAGCAAGCGGCTTGTACGTGCGTATAGGTCAATTCTCTAAGAGAAGGTATAATGTGCTCAAATATTTTAATTATTTAAGGAATTTTGTATACAGGGTGTTAAGAAATGAGATGTATTTTGTCAACATTTTTTTCTACAAAATAAAATGATTCTACCTTATTTTACATATTGAACTTTTGTTTATAAAGTAATTTCTCAAATTTTTGACTTCTCTCTTATATTAAGAGTTATTCATTTTTTAACGGAGAAATGTATTTTTTTGTATTTATTTTTAACAAGTTTAGTTCTCTTTTGTTTTTTACCTCAAATTTCATTACTTTTCAAAATATTTACGTTCAAAATTAGGACAAAAATTGCTTGTCCTGAAGCAAATGTCCAGCAGTTTCTTACAATTATTTTCAAAATTAATGAAACATACAAGTCCTTAATGAAGTTAAGAATTTAAATACCTAAATACTAAATGTTACAAAAATTAAATTACTTATAACACTATTATATTATTTTCCATTGCCATGGAACTGCTTCTGTTGTGGTAAATTTGTCAGCATAAAAATCCCGTTTTTTTGCTGCATCGCGGCTGTAGTGATTACTGCCCACATTTCCTATTGATGCTATTCCATTCACTAATAATAATAGTCTAATTTTAGTCTTGCTGGAAGAGCGTCCCTCAATAAATTATTTTCCTTCTGTATGAGGGGTGAGATTTTCTTTAGAAATGATGTCCTCAAAATGATCTTCACTCATTCTTAAATGGTTCTTATAGGCATTTGAGTCACCTGTTGCCAATTCCACTAACAGTTTTACTGAAGCGCCTTCATTTTTCCGTTTTATAATCCATGACTTGACCCACCAAAGACGAGGTTTTCTTTGTTTCCTCTTTTTGATTGTGTTTATTAAATGTTCACACGTCATACGAACACCAGCACGCACAATTTTCTTCTTGGCAACCATTTTTAAAACTAGATTGAATGTTCAATATTCTTGAATCATGTGAACGAATTTTCCATTTATTTCTATGTTCAATGGTAGATTCATATTCATAGATATTGATCAATAAATCGATTAATGAGAACCCGCCTTAAGTGGCAAATTTTTCAATATTAAGTTATTGCATTAGAAACGTAATAAATACCATGCTGCATGTCCTAACAAAAGTTACAAGAGCCAAGCGAAAGCGTTTATTTTTTTATGTATATTATAGGTATTTTAAAAGACATTTTAAAAATTTATTATTTTCAGTTCTACTGTGTTTTTCTCATTTATCTCGAAAAGATAATTTTGGCCTCTTACCCTCTTTCGTTTCTCCCAAAGACATTATAAAGATAGACCGAACATCTCATTCATAAATACTCGTTGGAAGTGTATCAAACATTCCAATGTGTCAAACAAGGACAGAAGAGACAGAGAAGTCTAAAATTTCCGACCCCGGCAACTAGGCGCATTTGGATTGTCCTAATGGCCAGTGGCGTATCGTTTTTTGGAAGGAATTTAATTAGTAAAGTAAAAGTAAAGTAATAGTAAAATTTTTACTCCATATTAATATACTACATTAACACTTTTTCGTCAGATGAGTTTTGTTATAAGGTCTAATATAATAATATAATTAATATCCCATATATACTTATGTTGAAACGTTAGTAGGTAGTTTTCGAAAATCGCTCCAACGTCGATTTTCAATTTAAACTTTCAGTTACTTCTATATAAACTTTCAGTTATTTTTGAATATTTACAGGGTGACTCAAGTTTCTGAAACAGTTCTATATTAGGTTTGTGGTTGGTGATTTTTCTTTCAATTTATTTTTCAAAATATGGAGGCAATGGTAAAGCACATTTTAGACATTTT